CTAATAACATTACTATATTTAAACATAAGCTATACTTAAGATAGGGTAGGCATAACTCACTTACAGCGAGTTTTCTCGAAAACCGGGCTCTGCCGGAGCAGAGTTTCTAAGCCGAAGGGCTCTTTTCTCGGGGCTTCGGGAGCCTAGGGGCTTCATTCGGGTGCTAGGGGGTTTACCTAGACTTTAGGGGGGGGTTAGGGAGGCTAGAGAGAGAAACTAGAGAGAGAAAGTGAGTTTGGGATGGTGTGAGAAATGGAGGAACCCGACACCTCTATTTATAGGCTGGAAAACAGCTCTACTCGTCAAGTAGGTCCTCCTACTCTTCGAGTCCATGCCACATGTCACCTTCTGGTGGCTTGCCTTGGGGAGAAAGTCTTGGCCCATATTCAGCCACGTCACCCCTTTTGCAGCAGCACCCTGCCGACTTCTAAACCCCGTAACTTTTGCATACGAGCTCCGTTTTCGACGTTATTTATATCCACGCGTAGGTAAAAACAAGATCTACAACTTTCATTTAGACTCCATTGGCTAATTCTTGACCGATCTTAAATTTAACAGCAGGAGGAGATTAGACTGTTAAATGACCGCGAAAAATTCGTAACTCCTTCATACGGACTCCGTTTTCGTCTGTCTTTTTACCGTTGAGTTCCTATTAATGAGATCTTCAACTCTCATTTAGGTCGCGTAAGCCAAAAACCGCTCGAACTAAATTCGAGTTTCTGGCCGTGCACTGCTAAGCCGAATCTTAGAAAAATCATACCTTCCTCATACGAAGTCAGATTTGGGCGTTCTTTTTATGGATGTTCTCGATTTAACATATTCTACGACTTTCATTCAGATCGCTAATGCTAAAAATCATTCTATCGTAAATTCACTTTTTACGCTTCCTGGTGTCGTGCCGGTTCCGTCGCGAAACTTCGACGGGTTATAACTTCTTCGTTATAACTCGGATTTCGGCGTTCTTTATATGTCCGGAATCCTTGTTTCGACCACTACAACTTTATGTAAAGATATCGAGCTTATCTCACACTTTAATTTTGACGCTTATTTTTATCCTTTATTTATTTTAAATTTATAAATAAGTAATAAGCATAATAAATGCACATAATTCACATAATACTCAAAAATTCATCTTTATTACTTCAAAAAGAGTTACAATAGTTGACCTAGACTATTACATCGTCTAAAAATGCTTAGCCCCGAAACCCGGGTGTTACACGAAGGCCCGCAGAGTGGCCGTTATGCATGCTTGTATGTTTATCGTATGTGGTATATTGATGGAAACTCACTAAGCTTTGTGCTTACCCAGTTGGTTATTGTTTCAGGTATTATCGGTCTTCAAGGGAAGGCGAAGGCGTGACTGTACACATTCATCAGCAACAATGAAGATTACGCGCTTTAACATTACTCTGATTTTTATAAACGTATGAAACGATTTTCTCCATAACAAATTTATAATTGTGAAGATTTACTTAGATAAAATGAAATTTTTTTGTTGTGAAAATGGGACGTTACATGACCTAAAATATATAGTTAAATAAGGTCATATCACCAAGCGACACATGAACTATTGGTACGTGATTATTTTGCCGATAATTATCTTTATAATGATGAGACACCCGAACGTTGTTTCTGTCTGAATAAGGTATTAGTTTTACGTATTAGTAATGTTTTAGAGGCGCGATATGATTATTTTAAGCAAAACTAGATGCTAGAGGTAGAATAGGATTTAGTAGTATACAGAAATGTGCGGTTTCACTTAGATATTTAGGATATGGTATAGCCTTCAATACATTAGACGAGTACTTGAAAATATCTGAGAGGACCGCAGTTGAGTATGTAGATTATTTTTGCACATATGTTTATGAGGTTTTTCACGAAGAATATTTGTGCAAACCTATTGTACGTGATATCGAGAGATTGTATTTGGCACATGAAGAGAGGCATGGATTTCCAGAAATGATTGGTAGCCTTGATTGTACGCATGTCGTGTGGGAAAAATGTGCAACTACGTTACACAATTAATTTACTCAAGGTGATACAGGTGAGCCGACTGTAATACTAGAATTCATTGCATCTCAGGATTTGTGGATATGGAATTAGTTCTTTGGAGTTACAAGGTCTAATAATGATCGTAATGTTCATGGCTAGTCACCTATTTTCAACGATATATGGACCGACAAAAACCTAATATGTCTTTCACGGTGAACGTGCATTCGTACAAATATGGTTACTAACTTTGTGATAGGATATACCCAGATTACGCTACCTTTATGAAGGCATATGTAGTACCTCGAACTGAAAATACAAAGTTGTTCACAAAAAAAAAAAAATAAGAATCTGCTAGAAAGGATATAGAAAGGGCATTTGAAGTCCTCAAGCAGACATGACATGTAGTGATCTATGCTACACAAATATGGGATATGGATAGAATAAGACGAATAATAAATATGCGTGTATTATAATACATAATATGATTATTGAGCATTAAGGTCGAGCGATTTGCAAGTATGATGCAAACGACATTGGTAACCCGGTTCAAAAGTTCATACCCGAAACGACTGGATTTTTAGCAAGAATGATTAAAATTCATAATAGTGAAACGTGTTTCAATCTTTGAGAAGACATGACAGAATATTTGTACCAAAACAACATGAACTAAGAATAGTTTTTAATTTTGTTTTGAAATTTTTATGTTTTTTTAATTCTCGTTTTTTTAAATAAAGTATTGTTTTTTTAATGAATGAAAAACTAGTTTAAAAAATCTATGTTTTATTGTATTTTTTATTTAGTTATAAATAAAAAATGATGCGGAGTGGTGATTTAGTGGTAAGTATACCAAATGTTTAGTGGTTGTATGTGGTGATGAGGTAGCACCCACCACATTAGTGGCTAGTGGTGAGTACTCTGAATGACCTTATATATAATATATATATATATATAGATATATATATATATATATATATATATATATATAGATATCTATATGTGGTGTGTGTGTGTGTGTGTGTGTGTGTATGTGTGTGTGTGTGTGATCTAGGAACACACCTTAGAGAGTAAAATAGAGTTTTCATGTTATTTTGTCTTAAAGGATTACAAAATATGTGATAATTATGTTGATTCCTCAAATAACATCAATGTGACTACATAATATTTTGGGAAATATCCATTAAAATCCTATTATTTTACCATAATTTACGAATAATTTTCAAACTAAAATTTATTTACGAAAAAACATGAATTACTGATAAAAAGTGACGATTTGGTCAAATTTTCTTGGTTTACCAGTTTAATTGTTGATCTGGATGTCTAGTGATTCAATGAGCTGGGAAAATCTTCATTAAAGTTCCATTATTTTATACTAATTTACAAGTAAGTCCCAAATAAAAGTTATTTACAAAAAATCATGAATTACCAATAAAAGTAATAATTTGGCCATTTTCTTCCTATAATACACATTTTATAGGTTTCATTGTTGACATGGACGCCTAATCATTAAATGAGCTGATGAGATGGATATGATGAATTATATAATGTTATGTTTACTATAAAACTTGATATCCATCTCATCGACTCGTTTAATGACTAAGTGTCCAAGTCAGCAATAAAACTAGTAAAATGTGTGTCATTGGGAAAAAATGGCGAGAAATGAGCTGATGAGATGGATATGTTAGGTTACATAAAATTAGATAGACAATTTGAAATTTCTTATAAGCTTCAAAAATGACGAAGTTGTTGCTATTTAATGTAACTATTGTAGTGTTCATTGGATGCATTTCATATTCCAAAAAATATAGGATGCAAGATGATATCAAGTTTTACGTAGACGTAGCATTATATAACCCAACATATCCATGTCATTTGCTATTTTAATGATTAGGCTTCCAAGTCAATAATGAAACCCGTAAAATGTGTGTTAAGGAGAGAAAAATATCAAATCATCACTTTTATCGGTAATTCATGTTTTTTCGTAAACATATTTTAGTTTGGGACTTATTCGTAAATTATGGTAAAATATTGAGACTTTAATGAATATTTTCTCAACTTATTTAATGACTAGGCGTTGATCAGCAGTGAAACCGATAAACCGAGAAAAAAAAAAAGTTCAAGTCGTCACTTTTACTGGTAATTCATGTTTTTTCCTAAACAAATTTTAGTTTGGAATTTGATCGTAAATTAGGGTAAAGTAATGAGATTTTAATAGAGATTTCCCTAGTATTTTTTAGCATATCTTTTTTATTGATGTTGTATATAATCTTTGGTGCCAAACTATTATGTTAAGGCTACATGGAGTGGGGTGCTAAGGAGAGATCGTTATCCTTGCTACACACTGCCCCAAGCTCTTGCGAGGGAGCTTGCTAGGAGCACGAGAGAGATGGAGTGGGGTGTTAATGAGAGATCGCTATCCTTGCTACACACCGCCCCTAGCTCTTGCGTGTGAGAGAGAGAGAGAGAGAGAGAGAGAGAGAGAGAGAGAGATTGGTGACTTTTGATTGGTTCTTAGCTATTGTTTTTCCTTTTTCTTTTTTTCCCCTCCAAAATCATATGTATTAAATTAACATACTACCATTGCCTATCTTTTTTGTGCTAGACATGTGTTAAACCTACGTAACATAAAAAAATTAAAAAAACCTACGTGACAATGTATTAGGAGTGTTACCACTAATTTCATCTTAAAACATCCATTTTTGCAAAGATGGTGATTCTTTAATATGTGTGTGTTATCAAGATGTTTACTTAAGAAATGTTAGAAGTGTGTATTTTTGAAAGATTATTTTGAAATTGATGTTTACGTAAATGTGCTCATGAGAGGTTTATAGTGTGTAAACTACGAAATTTAGAGTGTTTTGAAAAAGGTTTTTGTATAATTCCATAATTCATAATCCATAATTACGTCGACTACGTTTATTATCAGTTAAAAAAAATATAAGATTCATTGACTCAAATATATAATATTTAAATACAATTTAAAGCAAAAACACTAGTCGATGTAAGAAGCATCACGAAGAAATCTGCCCATGAAAGCAGCACATAAAGTTTCGCCTGCTTAAACGCGGTCTCCCCTAAAAAAACAACAAAATAATAGTAATTAATAAGTCGTAAAATGTATTTATATAATTATATATATATTTTTACTTTTATAATCATCAATTTATATTTTTGTAAGAAAAAAAAATTAATCACTTTTAATTAAACGAATTTGTAAACTTACTGTGTTGGATTCAACAAGTCTCGTATCTCCCGGCTTCGAATTCCTTTTCTCGGTAGCTTCCTCTAATTCCGTCCAAATATGAGCTCCGATCACACCCGAAGACATCGCCATAGATTTCTGACTGTAACTCGAACTTTTACTTCTCTCCGATTCCGATCTCTTGGATTCTTCAAAAACTTGCTGTTGCGAATCAACATCATCTGTAGTACCTCCATACATTCTCGAATCTTCCGGGATCACCGCTTCATGAACAACACCTCCATGACCTAAGTACTTCATCTTATCACCATCGCTTCCAAGCAACGAGTTCTGAAAATCTATCGAGAAACACGTTTCGCTAAGCTGAAAGCTCTGGTTTGCAATATCTTGATCATTAGACAACATGTTCGATTGATTTTGATCATGTGGTTGATGAAGATCCAAACCTCTTGTTAGCAACTCGATTAGCTCATCTCGTTGCTGGTTACCCCTCGCCGAAGATTGCACCGCAGGTTGCAGGGATCCTTTATTGGTAAGAACACACGAAAGATGAGCATCAAATTCGCATAAATTACAGTGATACATCCACCCACTGTAACTCGGTTTATCGCACAGATCACACTGGAAATCATAAACAGGCTTGAATTCAATATTAAGCGAGTGACGATGCAAAGGGGTTTTCATAGACAAAGGAGCGGCTAAGCATAAGGTATGGTAGTAATTGATACATTTGGAACACCGATAGTAAAACCCCTTGATCGGATTTTCGCAAGCTTTGCATTTAATCGGAAGTTTGGAAGTAGTAGGGAAGGTTTCAAGGGTGAGATTATGATTCGGGTCAGAGGGGTGGGTGACATTTTCGGGCATATTGAAGCAGGTTTGATGAAGGTAAAAACCACATAGTTTGCACTTGTAGTAGAATCTTCCCTGCGATATTATCTGCCGGCAGCCGGAGCAAGATGCGTGGCCGTGTGGCTGTAGTTTGGTGTAATCTAAGAAATGGTCATGGCTAAAATGGTGGTACCGGAGCTCGTCCTTCTTGGACTCCATTTTTAATGGTTTACAGAAGAATTTAGTTTTTGGGGAAGGGTGGAGTTTACTGTTTATTAATGATTTTGGGGATTAAGGGATTTGTTTTTAGGGTTTGAAAATGAAAATGACGTGACGAGGGGATTTCAAGTTTGATGCATAAGACGGACATCCGGCGAAATCCTATGAGTTTTTGATGGAATGGAATCATGGAAAGTCCGCCTTTTTCTTGTAGGTAAAAGTATATTCTTCGTTAATAATAATATAGTTATGTTTGTATAGTACAATACACCAAGCACATATACAACATAAATTTAAAAACAAAATATTATAAACCTTTTTATTCAATTTTTTCAAGAACGATTATATATTATAAAAAAGTAAACCATCTTGTTGGGAAAAAGTACAAAGATACATACTATAACTTAAACACATAGTTGTCAAAAGGTAACCCGATACAAAGTATAATGTTAAGAGCAACTTCAACTATAAAACACTAAACTGGTGACTATTGTAACACTAAAATAGAGTTTCCATTCAAACCAAACACTAAAATAATGGTTTTTAGAGGCCATGTAATTTGGTCTTTCATATTTGGTGTATAAGGCTATCCCAAACATTAGAATGATGTTTTTTAAAAGATTGATCGGAAGAACATAATTTTCTTGGCCTTTATAATAGTGTTTTAGTGGTTGCTCTAAGGCTATCACGTATGGTTCTTACTTCAAAAATATTGTTACCTCAACTTAACTATCACACCACAAACCTTACCAAAATACATACTACTTCACATTATTTATATCCTTTTCTTTCTTATTATTTATAAAAATAAAAAATAATTAAAAAAAAAACAACTTTAGAATAACGCACACCATTTCCAAAAACTAAATAAAAATACATTAATAAAACAAAAAAAATCACATAATTAAGAACGGAGAAAATTGTAATTGAAATTGTTGGAATTGGTTTGGTCGTTGGAAGTAATTTTGTTGAAATGGATGTTGGAAAAGAGGTTGATGTTGAATAGTTGAGGTTTGTAACATGTTCATGAATCCATTGGTGGTTGAATCGAAGCGTAGGTATTGGATAGGTGTTGTGTGAAGCGTGTATTGATCGGTGGGTGAATCAAATTGGGTGTTTGGATGTTGATCCATTTTTTTATTGTACATTGAAGGAGAAATAATTGATAGTGTAGAAAGAAAGAATTGGTGGTTACAGTGAAGATGTGTTTAAAGTTGGTTAATATTTATAGGTGGTGTGTATTTTTAATGCATTAGTTTTTTTTATATATATATAATTCCTAGTTTATCGCATATAAACCACATCTTACAGGCAATGAACCTAATCAAGTATAGTATAGTTTTGATAAGCAACAGTGTCGAACTCAAGAGGAACTGTAGTGAATTAACATTAGAATATTTGATTATAGGTTATACTAAATTGATGAAAGCAATAAGATGGGGTTTTTTATTATAAAAACTCAATTAAATCAACAACTAAACTAACTAGATAAACTGACTGGAAACGAATCACTTCAGGTACTTTGGTTTAAATTAGATTAAATCTCAAAATCACGGATAATTACTTTAGTGCAATGGTCTTTTATTCATTATTCATCGATTCTTAAATTGATTCATGTATTTGGTTCATAAACAAATATTAATGACTATAAGGACTTTTAATTTCATCGTCATGCAATTCATTATCCCTAAATTCATTATTTAGCTCGTATCATGCAAGATTTAATTTTTATTAATCCTAAAGGTTATTAGAATTAAATCATGCTAAGAATGGTAATCTAAAATATGCACACACATTAAAGTTCACAACTTTATTAACCTATCCTAGGTTTTGACCCGACACTAGTCATAATCATTTTATGGTAATAAAACAACTATAATTCAAGAATATATAACTAGATTGTTCTTGTAATCACATAAACTCAACAATAGGTAAAAAACAATTATCTTTAACACATATGTATCTTCAATCATGTAACAACTGGCAGTTCTGGGTCAACAAAAGTCAAACAAGTCAACGAAAGTCAACTGGCTAGGACATAAATAAAATTTTTTACCATGTTTTTAAGGTTCTCGGTTAGGACCAAAAACCTTGAGATTTCGGTGGTTAGGACCGAAGACCTTGAAGACTTCGGTGGTCAAGACTGAAAACCTTGGGATTTCGGTTTCGCTTGGACCGAAACCACATGTGATTACAAAAGTCATGACAGTTTTAGGTCAACAAAAGTCAAACAAGTCAACGAAAGTCAACAGGCTAGGACATAAATCAAAACTTTTACCATGCTTTTAAGGTTCTCGGTTAGGACCGAAAACCTTGAGATTTCGGTGGTTAGGGCCGAAGACCTTGAAGACTTCGGTGGTCAAGACCGAAAACCTTGGGATTTCGGTTTCACTTGGACTGAAATCACATGTGATTTCAGTGGCTTAAAGAGGTTCTCGGTTGGGGGCTTGGACCGAAATCACCAAGTGATTTCGGTGGTGCTGCAACTTGATTGGTGGATCTTTTTCCAACGTGATAAATTACACAATTCAATGCAAACGTCATTTCACCCCCCCCCCCCCCTTATATATATTAGGCCGAGAAAATCCCTCCCAATCCTCATTTACATCTTCAAACTTTCCCACTTTCCTCTCAAGAAAACGAGTTCATACATTTTCAAGCACTTACGTTTTCCCTCCAAAAACAAGATCAAGGAATTCCCAGGAAACTATTCTTCAAGATTGATTCTTAGGAATTGTTGTAAGTTTCCTTGTTAAATCTAATGTTTATACAACACTTTCATGATAATTCATCTCATTCACACACACTACTATGTGTTAAAAACTCATAGGATACAACTACCTTCAAGTGTTCTAGGCCTGAAGATTTTCATCATCACCTCTTCATCCCACCACAATCACACTCAAGGTGAGTTCATACCCCTACATTTTTCGAGACTTTTCCATGTTTTAGGGGGGGGGGATACAAGTAAAACACAAGAAAACTTACGTTAAAACACAAATTTTTAAATATGTTTTCTTACTTTTTGTGAAAAAGTACTAAATTGAAAAAGTACTAAATGAGACAATAAGCGTCAAAAATGACTTTTTAATAGAAGATTATTTAGAATGAATAAACTTAACCAAGTCATAGTATATGTTACAAGGGTTCCGTACATATAAAGAACGCTGGAATCCGAGTTATAACGAAGAAGTTATGGCCCGTCGAAGTTTTACGGCAAAACCGGCACGACACCGGGAGACGTAAATAGTAAATTTACGATAGAAGACTTTTTAGCCTTAGTGATCTAAACAAAAGTTTTAGTATACGTTAAACCGAGAACATACAAAAAAAGAACGTCAAAATCTGACTTCGTATGAGGAAGTTATTATTTTTCTAAGATTTGGCCTAGCAATGCACAACCCGAAACTCGAATTTTAGATTGAGCGGTTTTTGGCCAACGCGACCTAAATGAGAATTGAAGATCTCATTAATAGGAACTCAACGACAAAAAGACAGACGAAAACGGAGTCCGTATGTAGAAGTTATGAATTTTACGCGGATATTTAACAGTATAGTCACATTCTACTGTTAAATTTAAGACCGGTCGAGAATTAACCGACGGAGACAAAAGGAAAGTTGTAGATCTTATTTTTACCTACGCGTGGATATAAAAAACGTCAAAAATGGAGCTCGAATGCGAAAGTTACGGATTTTAGGAGTCGGAAGTGTGTTGTGCGAAAATGGGTGATGTGGCACAATCTTGGCCATTGCTTTCTCCCCAAGTCTTGCCACCAGATGGTGACATGTGGCACCAAGTTCAGCCATATTTAACCCTATAAATAGAACCTCTTCCAACCTCATTTTCTTCAAACCTTTCCCATTCTTTCTTCGACGGCTCGGAGAAGAAGAGCTTTCGGCTCGGAAGTCCTGCCCCTGCAGATCCCGACTTCTAGCCAAACCCCCTCGTAGGTAAGATACGCCTATCTAATTTTTAATATAGCTTTTATTTAAATATAGTAATGTTATTAGGACCTTATAATAATTATTCGAGCTATTATTATGGGTTATATAAGTGTCGTTATAATATCTTTTTAACCACTAGCGGTACGGGGAATCCGGTTTGAAGGGCCGCCTGGGTTGTTGGATTTCAGAAGTGCTATATGCCAAAATGATCCTGCCCTCCGGTGTTTCATGTCTGGCCCCTGTCTGTACATAGTGGGTGAAGAGTATTGTTTTAACGCTTATATAATAGTAATAGTAGCAAGACTATTAATTAGTCTCGTTGAACATTAGACTAAACTCTAGTGGTAATGATACTAGGTTTTGTCAAAGGAAAATTGTTTTAAGAGTAACGAAGTGTTGTCCGAGTGCCGAGTCACCACCTTTACGGGTGAGTGCATAGTTACTTTCATCTTACACATAGATATGAAGTATTTTATATAAATTACGTGCTAAGTGTGTATACTGTCTGAATACTTGCTGTCTATGTTGGATGAAACGTTTTATACATGTTTTAAATGATCTAAACTGTATATATTTTTTATATCTACAAAATGTTTTGGGTAAAACATGGGTAGATTAGAGGTGAGATAAATGATGAGCGATAAAAGATGAGATAAATGATGAGTGATGAAAGATGAGATGAATGATGAGCGATGATATATGAGTGATAAAATATGGTGCAAAGCGTTGACCTAAGTGATGAGCCAAAACGATGAGCCAAAATGATGAGCCAAACGATGACCCAAGCGATGGCCCCGTCATCTAGCAGAGTATGGATGACAACCACGGACTATTCTAGACAGTTTAGTGGAACACTAGCAGGCTCACAACCTGTAGGTGTTGTGAACGATGTGTTCATCCGGTGTACTCTAAAAAAAACCCATTGACATGTATTGCGAGTGGACTCTCGAAAACGATTATGTCAATAAACGAGATAAACCCTGACGACTATGCAGACTTAGTACCGATTCCTTAGAATACTCCTTAGGAATGAATGAACAAGGAATAGCTGAATC